ATGCATGGTTGGAAAATAGTTTTTATTAGAAATGTATCTAATATCTGGCCATCTACCTATTTCTGCTTCTTAGAGGCAGATTTGAACACCTATTAAGATTGGATGTTTGTTTTCAAAGAACAACTGACCTAACTCAAGGCCAAGGAACGGTTGCATACAGAGGACGGATATAGCTATCCACCACGGACAGTGATTTTTCAACCCTTGTAAAAATTCGTGGAAAGCCGTAAAACTACGGATGTGGGCCTCACAATGAATAAAAAGAAACTTTAATTTATAAATACTAGACTTCAATCTGAGTTCTACCAAATCAATGGGCATGCAATTTCAACAAGCTTGAAAAAATCACTACCCGCTGGATAGCGCTATTTGACTTTCGTACAGTATGTGTTGAACCAGCCCCAGGCCAAGAGAGACAGACGTTGAACTACACTGGAAATTTCAAGGAATTCAATCAACTTCAAAAGAATTATTCTGTCACCGTTTTTGGTGACCACTTTTCCAGTTGATTCATTTCCTTGAAATTTACAGTGTGGTAATAAAATTAAGTAACAATATATATAGCATTTTGTATATTGGACCAAGGTCCAAGAGTATAAACAGACGTTGAACTGGTAATACAATTAAGTAACAATATATATAGCTAGCATGTGTATATTAGGTCAAGAGCTAGTGATAGACGTTGAACGGGCAGTACAATTAAGTGAAAATATATATATTATTTGTATATTAGGCCAAGAGTGACAGACGTTGAACTGGTAATACAATTAGTAACAATATATATATCGAGATTATACAATTACTTTATGGTTTCCGTGTTTGGATGGCCTGATCCAAACACGCGGGAATGTTGCGAGAGTTAAGAAAAGCGCCGCAAAGCACGAGCCGAAGGCGAGTGATTTTGCACGCTTTTCTTAACTCGAGCAACATTCCCAATTTTTTTTGGGTCAGGCCATCCTAACAGGGAAACCATAAAGTAATTGTTTTATAAAATAACAACAACACGATAGTCTTCCGTGTTTGGATGGCCTGATCCAAACACGGGTTTCGACCAATCAGAGCACGCGTTATATACATGTTATTTTATAAATATATATCATTTGACATTTGTATATTCATAAATTTCATGTAGTTTTAAAAGCAGTTACTCTTAAAATTTTGAGAAATGCAACAATATATATGGCTATAACACTAGTTGTATATTCATAAATTTGTGGTTTTAAAAGCAGTTACTGTCAAAATTTTGTGATGTGTTTATTTGTCTATTAAAGTTAAAGAACACTGAAAATATCAGCACTGTGGAGGCAAGTTTGTTCTGTAGACCACGATGTATATTTATAATGGTCTAATTAAAGAACCCATTTGGTAGTCTACAAACCCAGATTTCATTCCCATGCTGGATTCCCAGACTACCATTTGGTCGCACAGTAGTGATAAATTCAAATAATACTGTAATTTATACTATAGTTTTTCTCAAACTTTAACCTCTCATTTCAAACTTTTATCTTTG